ATTCTGATTAATTTGTTCAAAGTACATAGGGGTTTGTTCTTCGATAGTGTTCGAGAACATATCTTCATACTGATCGTCTCTCGTCTGGAGTTGATTTTTGTTCCGAACGAGGTTTATATCAGATTCATGTCGATTTAGTGAATCAAACAACCCATTCGGTACCTCTTCCGGTCTTTCCAGAAGGCTTGTAACGGCATTTAGTTCTTGATCGGAATGGGTAAACTCACTCTCTATCCTCTATCGATTGAGTAGAGCGACGCGAGGAACGAAGGAAAGGAGAAGAAGACGTTCAATGACGACACCGATCACAACAGCAACAACAGAAGATACACACACCCCTCGATTCGCTTCACCTCTCGTTAACATACAGCAGAACGCGAACAAACATTCGCCACCGTCCAATCATGTGTTGTTTTCACTGATCGTGTCTATCTTTCGTTCTCCTCTCTTCAGCAAGGCCTCGTAAAGTTAACTTGCTCATCGGGTGTGTTTCTACGTGTGCTTGTTTGTCCTCCTGCCTTTCTATCGAGTTGCCTGTGTCTCTCTTGTCTCTCTCCTCATCGCTCTCCGCCCCTCGATTTCCTCTCTCTCTCTCTCTTTGTGACATCTCTTGTCTGTGGTTGTGATTCGAATTGTTCGTGAGAGAATTTCTCTCACTCCTTTTTTCTTGTTCACTTGTGCTGTGTAATTTCTTGATAATGGCTGCAAAGACAGCCGAAACGTCGAAATAAACAATAAGATGCTTATCACCACCGTTGGTATCTTCTCATTTATTTAGTGAGAACTAGCTATAATTTGAGATGTGGCACTCCTCGTATCAACCCCTAGATAAGTTATCTAGATGTAATGACATAAAAGTAAACTAGGATAAACTTTATTTCTCATCGACCCCTCTTGATTAGTAATACAACAGTGTGCTTGGAATGTTCCTTTTCCTCTTCTGTCAGCCGATAAAAGTGAGTCAAGTTAAAAATTAGTTTCTCGTATCGGACTGTTTCTGTAGGATGACAAATTTTCACGAACATGTGTTGCTGTAACACGAGGGTTTATCATATAGAAAGACTTCTTACCGTAAACTCATAAGTGCTTGAGAAAAGGAATTCAGGCTGAACATCGAAAAGTGAGTAATAAGAAGATTTCAACGCAAATTTATTTATATTTAGTGAGACTTTTTGCAGCATGTGACAACTACCGTTCATCAGCTTCCGATTCACTTATCCCCAGGCTAAAACTCGATGGAATCTTTATGAGCAGTGACATAATTCTCTTTTACATGCACAAAAAAACTGAAAGCTCACATTTCTGCTTCGCATATCTTCGAAATACTCTCGTTCCCGGTCTTGCCTAACTGTCGGGTTTTAGGATTTTGATTTTTCAATTTTTTTCGTATTGTGCTTTTTATCGAATCTCGTTTCAATTGTGCTTTTTATCGAATCACATTTCAAACAAGCTTTACGGAACAAGCTTTACGGAATCCGCTGATACACAATTTCCTCCACTACCCGTTCTACCGACAAGACGTGGAGAATCTAATCACTCACGAGCATCGCTCACAAGTGAAACCACGTGACAGACAACAACCTAGGTTAAACTCAGACCCTATTGAGCCATACAGCGAATCTTGAACTTAGTCTAATTAAATTCGACTATTCATTGATATCTACTTAAATCAAACTCACTAATTTCGATTCGATTCAACTTAGTCTGATTCCGCTTGATCTCGTATGGACTCTTCTCGTCGATGCAGATTCATACCACTCGATAAGTCCCTTGAATAAGGACGAAACCGGTCGTGGTAACTTAGTGATTGTACTCACCCAGCAGAACACAAAATCATACTCCACAGTGCACGTGCTACAGAACGAAGAATAGCATAAAGAGTTACAGAGGGAAAAAAGGCCATGAAATGGCGACACTCCATACAAAAGAAATATGTAAAAGAACGCAAATATATGAGTGCCTAGCGATGGCTTTTTTCTTTCATCCTGTCTCACACGCACAGAATAGAAGAAGTGCGTACTGTTACGTATGAAGAGTGCGTTCGTTATATAACCTGGAAAACGTTTACACTCGATAATTCGTTTTGCTTTCGCTTAAAAACATTCTGTTACGCGTTTCGGTAGGTACTTCAATATTCTTCAGGCACGATTTTTTTGTATTTATGTTCCTGGTTTTTCAATAACTTCTTGCGTGGCTATTAATACGTTATAAGTAAAGTACAAAGCAAGTTTTTGTCAGTAGTTCTTGAGTATCACGAATAAGAGACAGCCAGAGAGATCATCTATCTGATTCTTCTATTATTTTGTTCCAGGATTTATCAACAGCACAAAATGCATTTTACGTTGTTACGTCGATCCTTATCCAACCTTAAAGGGCCAGGGAAAAACTACAATATTCTGGTGGTCGGTGGAGGAATTGCTGGTCCTGCTCTGGCCTTTTTTTTACATCGTTATGGTATGAAACCTGTGGTGGTTGAGCGTGCACCGGAACTACGTTTATCTGGTCAGTGGGTCGATCTACAAGCTGAGGGAAAAGAAGTTGCTTGGCGTATGGGAATCGAAAGCAAAGTTCGCGAGAAGATTACTGAAGAACAAGGAACACACATTGTCGATAGCGCAGGACGACCGCAAGCCAGTTTTGATGTCAACAGCTTTGGTGAAAGAGGCTTCGTTGAAGAGCTGGAAATTCGTCGTCCAGAATTATCCAATATTCTCTACGAGCAGATCCGTAACGACGTCGAATATGTTTTCGGTGATTCTCCGCAAGCTATTGACGATCGTGGCGATAAACTGCAAGTCAAGTTTGCTAACGGCAATCTTCGCGAATTCGATTTAGTCGTGGGTGCTGACGGTATACACTCAAAGATTCGACGTCTCGTCTTCGGCGATGAATCGCTTATCTCTTATGCTGACTTATACGCGGCATATTTTGATATTCCTCGCACCGACTCCGATGGTAGTTGGGTACGTTTTTATAGTGCACCCGGAGGACGATCAGTAGCACTCCGTCCATATAGCCAAAACAGAACGCAAGTGTATCTCTGCTTTCGAAGTAAAGAACGCGGTTACGAAAACCTCGATGTCGACATGCAAAAACGTCTTATACAAAAGTTATTTGCTGATGTTGGTTTCGAAGCACCCCGAATTCTTCGTGAACTACCGAACTTAGATGATTTCTATTTTGATAGTGTTGGACAGGTCAAAACGGATCGATGGTCAAAAGGACGAGTGACTTTAGTAGGTGACGCAGGCTACTGTCCTTCTCCACTCACCGGCATGGGAGCAAGCGTGGCTCTTGTTGGCGCTTACATTCTTGCCGGTGAACTTTCACGCCATCAGGATTACAACGAGGCATTTAAGCAGTATGAAACATGGATGCGTCCTTATGTGACAAAAGCTCAGAAAATCATTCCTGGAAGTGTACGCTTAGCTTTACCAAACACACGCACTGCAATTATCTTGCGGAACGCTATACTTGGCTTTGTATTCAGACCTGCCATCACTCGATTCATCACAAAACTTATCACTTCGAAGGCTCCTCAGAAAAGTGTGCTGCCGAATTATGAGGCTGTATCGACTCCATAAGACATTTACTATTGAAAGTTGACTAGTCTATTCTTGTTCACGTGCATTACACGTGAAATTACTTCTAAATCACTAACTACAGCCCAGAGCCCTGCACGTTAAACGTAACCTAACCTAACCTAACCTAATATAACGTATAGGTTAGGTTAGGATTAGGTTGCAAAAGTTATAGATTAGATTAGGCTGTAGGTTGTGTTTTAATTTTTTTCGATTTTTTCTAGTCTTGCACAAGCGAATTTATTTTCTGATTTTAAGACATGCATGCTTAATTCTTCGAAAGGCAAAAAACTCAGTGACAAGTATATTAAAAGATTTCCGTGAACAAATATTGAAACCGACTGATTGATTTCAAGTACAACTTAAGGATACCTCCCGCCTGTTTTCGGCAGAAAAGTTTTCATTTTGAACTGAACATGGTTTAATGTAGAGGAAAGTCTGGACTATAAAGTGAAACCACTCCCAGCTCTTCATGATCTTCCTTGAAAAACTTATGAAGTTTTTAAATTTTTCCTTCAAAGCCTAGAGAATCTCAATTTTTTAGGTTGGTACACTAACAATAAAAAACCTTATCACTTAATTTATTGCCCCTACTATTTGACATGATTTCCTACTTTGTTTTTTTAATGTTCAAGGTTCTCGCAATGTATGGTTCACTGGAAATATAATCCAATGTTATGGCAGTTCTATGCGTCTTAACCTGTTTGTATCTAAGTCTATTGGTGACACTAGTCAGTGCAAAGTCCGATCAGTATTGCTTTGTAAGTTATTAAAGATACAGTTTAAAGCCAGAAAGGCGAGTTTTCAGAAAAGCTTTACACTATACAATCGCGCGTAAAACTATCAGTCCATCTACTGATAGCAATTTGTTAAGCTATAATACAGGAAGCTATTCAAGTGAGGCCTCATTTCTTGTTTATGTAAGTTAATCTTTACACATGCAGAATAAACTCGATTAAACAGATATTTTTACTATCGGAATATGCGTTCATACAACAATTATTGAATAAGAAAGAGCAAATCTTGGACTATGTTTAAAACATACCTTGATCTTTCGAATTCTTGCTGTGACTGTAGCCGAGCTCTGCAGATTACCACTTTTTGGCAACCTATAACCTAACCTATAAAAATTTTCACAACCTAATCCTAACCTAACCTATCTTGTGGCTTTTTGTTTTCAACCAACAGAACATTACACGGAAATCTTTTAATATAGTTGTCACTGAGTTTTGTCGTTCTCAGTTTAAGTTCAAATGTAGACTTCGTGCTAAGACGGGGAAAGTGGATTGCTGGACTCAAGCAGTTCAGAGAATCCTTGGCAGTCTATGGAAGTTCACGGGAGTCTACAAGAGACTGTGAAACTATTAAATTTTACATCTTGTGATGTTTGTGCTAAATTGAAATGTAAAAAATCTAATATTTTGAAATCCGTAAAAAAAATGTTTGTTTAAATTATTATGCTCTTGGCTTTTTCTTTTGCTTCGCTTCTTGTTTAACAAAATCTTATTTCGTATTCTTTCAAGAGCTTTTTACTGCACCAGTCCTAAAGTTTAGCTTTTAACTGTAACTGGTGTTTACTAGAGGTTTGCTGAACGGTCTCGGTCCCGTGAGACTTTTTGCAAGACCAGGACCAAAACTTTTTTTATAAGAGATCGCGATCGGGACCTGATTTTTTGAAAATCAGTCTTATATAGCCTTATATGAACCATAAAAATTTCTTAGTTTCTGTCGCTCGTGTTCTTAGCCGGATCTTAGCTTTTCAAGAAAGGACTGACACAAAATTCTAAAAGCCGTCAGTTAATATTCTTACGCAATAGTGCTATTTTCCAGGTTAGTTTGAATCATTGTCGTGCTGATACTTTGTTCAAAGTTTAAAAATGTTTGTGAAAGCAGCTAAAGCTATCAGTCTACGGGACTGAGACCAAAAGCTTTGGTTCCGCAGACCTATAGTGCATACCGATACACGAGGTGCTTTTATATTCACCTATTTATTATTCACGATCAAAAGTAATGCATATTTAACAAGTGGATTCATCTTGACAGGAGAAACATGAGTTATGTCGTTGATAGGCTCTTTGTCTAAGAATTAGTTGTTAATTGACATGTTCTATGCAGAAAGTGGCTAACAGTTTACCAAGGACTTCTAAACAGGAATCTATAGGAGTTCATAATCTATAAATCCACAGGAGTCCAAAGAAGTCTGGCAGTCCGTTGTTCTCCCTGGCTTCGTTCTGTGCTCAAAAAATGTAGAATTTCGATAGACTTTAATGATACGTTCGTATTAGACTAAAAGCCGTTGACTTTTATAGGGTTGCATCTTGCTGACAGTAAAGGTATTTCTCATTACACGGCAAAGAAAGTCGAATTACCCTTGGATTCTGTGATGTGTAACATACATACCCGTTGACTAAATAGCGTTCTCGAAAAAGCGTACTAAAAAAACGTTCACTCTTTATTCGTCTAAATTCTATGTCTTTTGAGCATAGAGCGAAGTCTCCATTTGAAGCTAAACCAAAATGCTCCACAAAAGTGCGGAACGTCTGAATCACTAATTACATCCACAACGATTCAAAAGCCTTTTGAATTCTTGTTGTGAACGTTTAAAACATACCGATCGAAATCTGAGTCGGACGAAGGTCTCGTTTGGTATCTTTTAAACATAGCCCAAGGTTTGGTTTGCTCTTCTTGCTTAGTGATTGTCATATGTACAGCAAGGCCATTTTGTGGAAATTTATAGAAATTTTCATGGAATGACGCTATTTTTTTTTTTGACGCTAGTAATATAATACTATTTCAAACTCCGACAGATCCTGTTCGAACCGTCTAAAGCAACGTAGAGGTCGAACATAAATATCTTGATGCTTTTGATGACGGACTGGTCAATTTTATTACCCATTTAGCTAGATGCAACCACTGGCCCATCGACCTATGTAGTCGTGTCGTTCGATGTATCTACTGATATAGGGAGCGATGAACCACATAGCTACCGCTACATAACGGGTAAATTTCATTTACCCCTTTATTTTACAGACTAAAAAGGTGCGTCGAGTGATACAACTAGATAACTCGATGCTTTAGTGGTCGCATCTAGATAGATGAGTTAATCAATATAGTTATTAGCCGTTTTGTAATTGTTGTGATAAAAAATAACTAGTGACTAGTATTTTTATCTTTTCCTATCTTTATTTCAAATGTAACTTTATAACAACTACTGATAATATATACTGAGGAAACAAACTCTTATATACAATTTTGCAAGTATCGAGGAATAATGCAGAACTGGAACTAACAAAGACTGAGGGAACCCAAAAAAAGATGTTTAGAATGTTCTTGACATGTGGCATATGTCCTCGACAAAGTGCAACATCTATCGGAGAAAGGGGCGACAGGCATCACAAGTATTATACTTACCGAAGGACTTATAATCCTTAGCTAACAGTAAGCTAGCGACTTTTTCAGAAAGTTGACTGATCTAGTAAGTAGGTCTAACTCACGTTCTCTACTCAATTCTGGCAGAACCCTGAAAACTTTCAAAGAATAGTAGAACTGGCCACTGGCTAATTTTAGTCGTTACTGTCTGCCAATTTATTGTATTGTGTAGCAGTATTCGCAATTTACTTGTATGGAAGTATTTCAATTTAGCTAGAAGGTTTTTTCAATAAGCTTATCACGAGAGATCTCGCTTCATCAACTTGTACATCAGAAAAGGCAACGCTTTACTGCTGTCAAGGTCGTTTATGTAATCCCATGTGATGAAAATCGACGATTTTATCGCGATTTACGGACCGATTAATTGTGCGCTTTATCGCGATAAAATCGACCAGTTTGCCGATTTTTTTGCTGACTTATCAGCCAGTAAAATATGAGGCT